TTGAGGACAAGGCATAGAAGTCAAATTGTAATATTCTTTTACTAAAAGAATCGAAATTTGATAAAAATTTCATCTACAGATGATGATGACCCATATATGAAGAAGTAACTAAATATATGATGAACTTTGGCACCAATAGTGCGTTCTATTTCAGCGTCATCAGCAGCAAGTAAAAGAATACTGAGCGAAATTCATTCGAATTTAGAAGCAAAAAGAATCCAAGTGAATGCTAAATTACTTGCTTTTATATGGGATTCAAGACGATCTCATTGTTTTGTTGATCTTTATAAAAGAAAACTAAACAGCATACGTTTTCAGATAGAATAAAAGTTTGAAAACTATACTGTGACTATGAAAGTATCTACCCGATGTTGATTAGCTCTGGTTGCAAAAAGTTATAGTCTGCACAACACTAATGCTCAGTACAATGTTGTCTTGCTGAGCACTAACTGTAACGACTCTTCATAGAAATAAAAGTACTTTTGTGAAGATAAATGAGATATACTTCAAACGATCTCGAGATTCCTATAAATTATAGATCTTAGTTCATCAATGGTTCTTTTTTTGTTTAGGATAACAATTAAACGACTACATCTATAAATATTTTTGACGATATGAGCGCTCAAGTAGAGATTCTTGAAAGCTTTTAGTACGAATTGTAGTTAAAGATCATGAACATGATCATATTTTGTACTCATACAGATCTCTTTTTAAAAAATGTCTATTTTACTTCCTATGTTGTCTTACTTCCAGTTGTTGGATCGGTGACTAATTCATAAACTTTTCCATCTTTTCCAATAACAGGTTTCATTCGGTAAACTGTTTGTCCAGTTGCTTCATCAACAACTTGTTCAAATTCAATGTTTTCTAATCCATAATTTTCAATTAAATCTTTACTTAGACTAATAACTTCTTTCCCTGTTGTTGGATCAATATGAACTGTAAATGCATCTTTATCTAAATCAATTGATGTTGTTATTGTTGCCACTTAAATAAATTAAAATTTCAAAAAAAAAAGTTCTATTTTTAAATATTTTTTTTTTACTTCTTTCTATAGTTTTTTGTGGTATAATACGAATAATTTGTTCACCTGTTTGTGGATCAATAATAACTTCTACTTTTTGTCCTTCTATAAGATTAACTTTAGGTTTCATAACTGTTTTTCCAGTTGTTTCATCTATTTCAATATCAAATTCCATATCCTTAACATTGGCTAATCCTTTTCGACGAACTGCTTCATCAGTCAAACGATAAAATTCTTTTCCAGTTATAGGATCAGTAACTTTTTCAAAATCATTAACATCAATTGATGCCTCTACAGGTGGAGCTAGAACATAGAATAAAATCTAATTCAAGAAAAAGAAAGAATAGAAAAAAAAAAAAAACGAATCCTACGTGTTCGTCCTTTTGGCCGTTTAAGAACTATTTTTGGTAGACCAGTTTTTTTATCAATATAAAATTCAAATTTTTGATCACCCTCTAATTTTCCTGTTTGATTACCGCCTTTCATTCGTATTTGTTCTTTACCAGTTGTTGGATCTTTATAAATTTCAAATTCAACATCACGTAAATCAGTAAGACCTTTTCTTGCTGCTGCTTCAGCTGTTAATTTAAGTACACGTTCACCAGTTACTTCATCAATAAATTCTTCAAAATCTTCATTAACTAAATCATTTTCAATTGTTTCAACTAAACAAAAAAAATTAACTCAGAATAAACAATTGTAGTTTGCTTACATTTAACGTCAACTTCTTGTTTCATACGTAATGTTTGTTGACCAGTTTTAGGATCAATAACCATTTCAAATGTTGTATTACCTTTTGTTATTTTTCCTGTACCACCTTTTATTTGTATAATTTGTTGTCCAGTTTTTTGATCAATTACAAACTCAAAATCCACATTATCCATGTCAACAAAACCTTTTCGTTTAGCAACTTCTTTTTTCATACGTAAAACTTTCTTTCCAGTTTTAGCATCAATAACTTCTTCAAAATCATTAGCATTTACATCAACATTAGTTACTTCAACTAAATATCGTAAAGATAAAAATAGATTTTCAAACAAAAGCTTTGTTTTATTTATTTACTCGTCTTTGGAATTTCTTGAACCATTCGAAGTACTTGTTTACCTGATGCATCAGTAACTATTTCGAATTTAACATCTGACGAGAAAAAAAAACACAAATAAACATAATAAATATTATGATAGATGATTAATTTTTACCATCTGGTCCATTGCTACCATCAGTTTGTTTAACTCTAATAGCTTGTTTACCAGTTTTCTCATCGATATAAGTTTCAAATTGAGCATCAAGTAATTCCATCATACCAGCTCGTTTAGCTACGTCAACTTTTAATTTAAGTACTTTCATACCTGTTTTTGAATCAATAACTTCTTCAAAATCATTTATATCAATTGGTTTTTCAGTCACTTCTAATTCAGCTAGAATATGAATATTTAGAAATAAATCGATCAAATTTAAATATCAGTATTCATTTTTCATACGTGTTGGTGGTCGTTCTTTTTTAACTTTAATTGTTGTTCGACCTGATGCATCAGTAATTAATTCAAATTTCGCATCACCTATGAAAAGAAGAAAAAACGAAATATATAAAATATTTAGACAGATGAGGCACAGATAACACAAAATTAGAGTGGATTATATTTGCAAAGAGATTCAAGTACTGATAACATTACCAATGTAACAACTATTATTACTTTTTTTTTCAAAACAACTCTTTAGTTTATATAGTTTTTCAATAGTTTTCTTTTTCGAACTCAGGATTAAAAACCAAGTGAAAAAATATTATTCGCGTAGATTTAAAATAAATCATGCGAAAAATACACTATTAATGAATGTAGACTTATTACATGTGTTGATAGACACATTTATAAACCTATTTGGTATTGTGTGACAGAAAATTAGATCAAATGTCTGATCTCATTTAAATCAGTTAATTTCGGGCTATTGAAATACTCATTTTGTTTCTTTTAGATTTTGTTTTATTGTTGATAAAATCCAACATTTCTTCGTTTTTAATAATAAGATGAAAAAAAAGCCCTATTTATTGCATGTTCTATTACATGAACTCCGTTGAAAAACAAAATAAACAGCATTTTCAAAATTAGTATAAAAATCTACACTGAGCCATATACGTTTCAACAAGCTCTGTGTCAAACAGAAAATCGATTCCAAACAGCACAGTGAGCGAAACTTAGGAAGCAAAATGCTGAGGAGAGAACAACTACGTTTCTCTGTAGAACAATGATTTTGTTGAAATATATGTGGCCCGGTGTTGATTTTCTCATTGAATGTGAATATGTTGTCTATTTTTGTTTTCAACTAAGTTTTGATATTGAAAACTACGGTAAACTAGGCATTCCTTGCCCTTTTACTATTGAAAACACGGACACATTCGATCGTTCTAACAACAAAAGGAACTCTAAAAAAACTAAAAGAATAGTTTTCTTGCTCGAAGCCAGATGATTTAAATGAGATTGGACATTTGATCTTATCTTCTGTCATAAAAAAAACACTAGATAGGCACACACATGTATCGACAAACACAATATATAAGCCTAGAATTATTAAAAGCAGTTTTTTTGACTTCTTTATTTTAAATCTACGAAAATAATCTGTTCTAATCAGTATCTAATAGTGAATTAGGAAAAAAAAATCATTTTTAATGAGCTTAGAAAGAAAAGATGATAGAAACTTGAGAATTATTTTGAAAACAAAAGTAATTTTAACTAGCTCTATCAAACCATATATAAATCAATGAAAAATAAAACCCGTCCTAATTTTGCGTTATGTGCAGGTATACAAATTAGGAAAAAAATATCTACCAGCATTGCCTTGTTTTCCACCACCTTTAATAACGATTGTTTGTTTTCCATCAGCATCCGTAATCATTTCAAATTGCACATCAAGTAAATCAGTTAGACCTTTACGTGCAGCAGCACCTTTTTTTAATCGTAATACTTCAAGACCTGTATCAGGATCAATAACACGTTCAAAATCATCGACATTTAATTGACTTTCAATAATATCTACATTATCTATTAATCATATTCATTATTAAATTTCTTTTTCATTAATGAAATAATTCTTTTAATAATTTTACCTTTTTCTTGTTCTGTAATTGTTCGTTTAATTATTTTTTGTTTGCCTGTAGCAATATCAACAACAATTTCAAAATTAGTATTTGTTCCACTACTAAAATCTGATGATGGAGTTTTAAGAACTATTGTCGATTGACCCGTGACAGCATCAACAACTATTTCAAATTCAGCATTTGCTAATTCTTCTAAACCTTTAGCTTTAAGTACATCAGCTTTCATTCGTAATATTTTTCGACCAGTTAAAGGATCAATCACATGTTCAAAATCATTTAAATCAATATCATTTTCTGTTACTGTAACAATAGCTTCACATAGTCAAATAATAAAATAATAACAAAAACATATTTTAATTGAAAATCAATCAAAATAAAACTTACGCTCATCTGATTCATCATTATCATCCTCAGCAATCATTCGAATTGTTTGTTTACCTGTTATTGCATCAGTTACAATTTCAATTCGATTACCATTCATTTGATTTGTTCCATCATCTTTTATACGTATGATTGTTTGACCTGTTGTTGGATCAACAACAACTTCAAAATTTGTTTTTGCTAGACTAGTTAATCCTTTTCGAGCTGCTACATCAGCTTTTAATCTTAATACAGTTTCACCTGTTCTTTCATCTGTTACCAATTCAAAATCTTCAATCGTGATGTCGGATTGAATAATAGGAGCTAAAAAAAAGAAAAAGATAATTTGAAAAAAAAAACAAAAGAAAAGAGAACTAGTTCTTACGCGCTGTTGAAATTTCTTTTTTCAACACTAATATTTGTTTTCCGGTATCCGGATCAAAAACAATTTCAACTAAAATACATAGCAACATAAATCAATTATCTATTTTTTTTTTCTTTGAAAAAAGCAAAATCAAATCTTTAATGATCTATTCAGCAAATGACGATTGTAATTCAGCTAAAAAACGTCTTTTAAAAGATCTTATTCAAATTCAATCATTAGCAATTCAAGATGGTGTTACAGCAACACCATTAAATGAATCAAATCTATTCGAATGGCAAGCTATCATAACAGGACCTGATGATACACCTTATGAAGGTGGTATTTATGAATTATATATTTCAATACCATGTGATTATCCAGTTAAACCACCAAAAGTACGTTTTAAAACTGAAATATTTCATCCAAATATATATAAAAATGGTGATATATGTATTGATATATTACAAAATCAATGGAGTCAAGTAATGAGTATAGAAAAAATTTTAATATCAATTCGTAGTTTATTAAATGAACCAAATATAAATAGTCCAGCGAATCCTGAAGCTGCTTTATTATATAAAGAACATCGAAATGAATTTCATCGACGTATACGTAATGATATTAATAAACAAATAAATGAAAAATCAGTCCTACTTACACCATTAAATTCATATGAAAATGTTTCTCCTTTTTTTGAAAAATAAAATTATTCTTACCTTTAAAATTAATATCGTTTGGTAAATTTTTGATTTTTATTATTCGTTCGCCAGTATTTTTATCTGTTATTATATCAAAATTTGTTCCAATTAAATCCATAAAACCTTTTTGTTCGGCAATAGATTTTTTTAATCGATAGACATATGTACCAGTTTTTTCATCAATAACTCGTTCAAAATCATCAGGTGATATTTCTTCAGAAATAATTACAGCTAATCAACAACAAAAAAAATATATATTAATGCAAATTCTTTTTCGAATAAAGTGTATTTTTAAGGGCCTCCCCGGAAAAATCAATTTTACGAGATTTACACATACGTTGGGTATGGGTATACGTGCGCGTCTAAGTGTGAATAGTGACTGTGAATAGAATAGAGACTGCGCCCTCACTCGAATTCAGAGCAAATAATAGGGCTAGAATATAGTGAGGCTGAATTTTTGAATTTCTCTTCTGTATAAATAAAAAGCTTAGATCTTTGATTTAAATTAGCGATTTTTGTTGCCTATGAATTTAAGAATTTTTCGAAAAATCTTTTCTATCAAATATAAACAAAGAGAAAGTAAAAATCTGGCTCTATTATAATCAAGCTCTAAGTGTACTCTACAATATAAAATCTATCGCGACATTTTAGCTCGTATTCACGTTTTGAAAACTTTTCCCGTGTAAGGATTCTATTCACTAATGAATTGAGTATAACTCGTCATCATCTTGTAGATTAGGGGAAGATATTTTACCAATAATATATTCTAGTCGAGATTAACATCTCATGAAATTTTTAATTGAAAACGGATGAAAAATAGAAAAAAAGTCTATTTCCAAGGGAGAAAATGAGTATCTAATGAATATACATATATATTACTTTTTGTTTTTTTCTTTGTTCTCTTTGGTTTTATTTTATTTTTTTTTGTTTGATATGCACTTTTTATACGAATATATTCATCACCTGTATCAGGATCTAAATATATTTCAAATGCTTCTATTGGATAATCCATAAGTGCCATAAGAATATCATCAGTAATTTGTAAATTTTCTAAGTTTCCTTTAAGTACTAAATGAAATACATTTTTCAGAGGAAAAAAAAATTTTTTCTTTTTGATTGTTGTTTCTTACAAACATGTTGAAGTGTTTCACGAAGAATTTCTCGATATTCATTATCAGACACACTTGCCAGTCGTTGATCAAGAAGATATTTTAAATTACGTAAATTTTCAATAATTGCCAACTAAAAAAAGAAAAGTTGTTAACACAATCGATACACGATTAAAATATGAAACACAGTGTAGGTACTATTGTTAATCATAATGAGACTGTTTTATTCTATCCATACTTTGGACACATTTCTTCATTATTCTTTTATTCAATCTTTCAGAAATCCAATAAGGAAGAAATTCATATATAATAACGAAACATTCTTACGTCTTTCACAGTTTGTGGCGAAGGGATGAATTCAAATTTCGACTCCTATACTTCAATACTCTCTTTTCGATCGTGTTTCACAAGAGGGAGAAACAAATTGAAATATGGCTTGCATAGAAATGAGCAGTTTTGGTTATAATACGGACAATGAGTCTACTGACTACACTGGTTTGGTGTTCATTGAAGCACTGACACATCTATATAGTATGAATATGCCGAATAGATCAGTGCATACTGATCTAGTTTAGTCTGTGTGAATTTTTGGTGAATAGTTTACTGAAATTGCATATCTCTAATTCTATATATCCAAATCAAGAAGTTTTTCAACAGGTAAATCAATCATTAATACAAAAGCATTCAATCTAATTAATTTTCTTAATCATAGTGGCAAGTTTAGAATCAAAAGAAATTTAATAATATTTAGTTTATCATTTAGAATAAATTTATATGTTAGTATCAGAACTGAACTTTTAAGTTCAATGTCGGATCTGAGATCGAACGCGTTTGATATCGGATTGAGTGATAAAATGAGGGTAAAACTCCAATTTGTTTGTAGATCTATGTCGTATTCAGATTCTAATTGATGAACTTAGATCAAACAAAATCAGTTGATTAAATAATTTTTAATGCGTGAAGTTGATGATGATATTTATTGAGATGTCATTATACAGCATAAGTTCGCCAATAAGAATTCAAATACGACAGTGATCGGGAGACTCACTCATGTCCTTCAATCCGATATTGGGTATAAATATTCGTTTGAACACTAATATGTTTTAATATATACCTGTGCATCTTCCGCAAGATGATATCCAGAATCAGAACGTTTTAAAATAATTTTAGCTAATGCTTGTGCATGATTGGCAAGTGCTGTAAGAAACTCTTTATCTTGTAAATCGACTTTACTTACTAAAACAAACAACAAACAACAAAAAATTTAAATTAATAAAAACGAATATTTTTCTATATTAAATTTTATACATCTTCGTTGTTTAAATAAATCAAAAAGACTTTTAACTTGTTTTATGTAATGTGGATCAGCACCACTTTTTACTAGATCATTTATCCACATATCATAAACCCAAATTGTAAAACTTAATGACGCATCTATATCGCCAGCATGTATGTTGATAGCTACCAACAAGAATCAAATAGAAAAAAATAAGAAAATAAATAAATATTATTGATTATCAATACTTCGTCGAATCATTGTTTCTGTATCACCGATTGGATCTAAATAAAATCTTTTTTATGGATTTCAATATTTAAATAATAACATACGTTTATGTCCATGTACACCCGACGGTCGATAGTCTGGTTTGTATAAATAAGGTCGTTTGATCATTGGTGGTGTCGGTGGTCGTTGATATGCCCAAGATGTAAATGCAAGAAGGGGTGATTCTATTTTAAAATAAATTTTTTAAATTAAAAAGAAATGTTTGTTATAGCAGCCCCTTTAGAGATTAAAACGTGAGATTCACATGTGTTCTTAACCTCATTATATCACTATTGCAAACTATTTCAAGAGAAAAATCTCTAACAGACTATAGTTATTTTCCTAGGAATTATCAATCGCTAGAGAAATGATATTTTTATTCAGTTCTACATTTTGAATACAATCTTTTTTTTGGTGCTGCTATTCGCTCATTGTTTTTTTCATTTTCGTATTCTGCTTTTCTTAATTTATCATTATAAGTATTCTAAACGTTGATTTTACTGACGAATAAACCTGTTGCACATATTTACTATTTCTAGTGCAGACAGAACTCTCTGAATTGGTCCAAGAAATGTTCAATAGACCAGACCGAGATCCGAAAATTTTGAACTCGATGGGCTCTAACAGCAGATCTCTCGTTGTACTATTGTACATCTTGGTTAGATAACAAACACTGATATTGATTAATTCCTAAAGTTCTAAATAGATCAAATTACACAACAATCCATCATTCTTGATATCTTAAATATAAATGTTTAACAGGGCAAAAATAATAATAAACACTATTTAGAAAATATGCAAAAGTATTCCAATCATTCGAATATTAAGACGTGCTTTGCAAAATTTTGAAAATGTCTAAGTCTTGTCTATAATACCGTTCACCATCTTTTTCTGTCACTAAGGAACTCTGAGAATACAGTCTAACATCTGTTGTCCTCAGTGACTAAAGTTTGAAATATGATGAGAAAAATAGCCGAAAAACTTCGACCTAAACCTTATATTCATTTTTTTCTTCGAAAATATATGTGAGTTCCTCAAAAAAAAAACTCCTATTTAAAATAATAACATACGCGATTCAGCAATTGGTCGAGTTTTATTATTTGGATGAATTGGAACACGTTGTTGTTGAATTGCTTCACTATGCATAGATAATGTTGAGTGAAGCATAGCTAAAATAAAAATGAATGATGAACTTAAAAATACAATTAATCTATTTATATTAACCATGATCATGTATTTCTTGAGCAATTCGTTTTTGTTGATGATCTAAGATGAATATTGTTATTTTCATTTTAAATTCTAGTTGTAAATATTTACGTTTACGTCCAGTAAATGCTGAAAGTCCTATAGGTGGTGGAGGAGGAATTAATGTATAAGATTTTGATACTATTCGTCGTTTTTCTAGAGGTACTTCATAGCTCCATGATTGCAAACCAATTTGACTATCAAAATCACCACCAGTTAAATTTAAAGCTAAAAGAATATATATTTAAATCGAATTGTTTTAAATTCAAATATTTAATCTTACTTCGTCGTATGACTGTTTCATCAGGTAATCGTTCACGTTTTGTTCCAAGAACCATTGGTACACAAGGTGCAACTGATATACTTTGTTGATCATTATTTTCTACTACCAGAGAAGCTGTTAAAGGTTGATGAGAAAATGGTTCATGTTTGGACAAATAATCGTCATAATCATCTGTTATTTGAAATAAATTATGTTTGAAAATCTTATTTTTTAGTATATGATCTTACTATCTGGTTGTCCAGATGATCCACCGACGAAAAGAACTTCACCATCAGGTGCAATTAATAATGCTCCTGGAGGAACTGCTGATGAATTTTTTGACTTTATTGTTCCATGAGATCGATGTGTATAGGCAGATCGCTTTAAAGTTACTTCTATTAGAAAAATAAATATTATTTATCAGCTTAAAATAAAGATTATCAAGCAAACCAGGTGGTATTATAGAATTTTCTGTTAAATTCATTTCTGATGGATGAACATGTTGATCTAGTTAAAAGAAAACTAATATGAATTTTTATTTAAAAATTAATTGAATACCATGTTCTTCATCTGTCTTTGTTCCAGGTGAGTGTGATGCGTTACGAACAAGTGCATCTTCAGCCACGTCGACAATTGATGTTCGTGTACTCTCATTTTTATCTTCAACTTCATCATCTTCTTCTCTATATGAATCAATAGCTAAAAGTCTTTCTGCTTCTTCTACAAATATATCAGTGAATATAAAATTCTGATCTTCATTTTTTGGTTTTTGTTTACCATGTATACTCAATGGTGATGTAACACATCGGCCTGTAGCAAATGTTTTTCCTGTTCCTTGTCTTGATGGATTTAATTTTGAACTTTTCGATGAACGTTGACGATATAATAAATTTGTTAAAGATTGTTCTTTTTCAACTATTATTTAATTTAAATTTATAATATAGTTTATTTTATCTTTTTATATTAATTATTTACTTAATTGATTTGTTGCTGTTAATTTATCTTGTTGTAATTCTACAGGCGATGAAAGATGTTGTAATTGTGTATGATTTTCATATTTACGTGTTAGTTTTGTTGATATTTTATGTTGATTAGAATCAATATCATGAGGTTTTCGTAATTTTGTAGATAATTTTGTTGCTGTATGTGATTGATTTCGTGCTGTTGAAGATTCTTGATGAGCAGAAGTCGATAAGGGTGCTAACAGTCGAGATGCACGAATAACTGCAAGATAAAAACAACAAAGATTTTTATTTCAATAAAAATAATATCATTTTACGTTTTGAATGAACAATATCACTTGTTGTTCGAGTATATTCATTATTAAATTCATCACTATTTGTCGCATCATTTTGTTGTTCACTGTTATTTGTTTGATATTTTGATTTGGTTGGTAACGCTAAAAAAAAATAAAGAAAATTATATAAAATATTATGAAATCAAATTCAATAACTATTCGAATGCGATGGTCGATTTCGGGCCCATTTACTTCCTTGCATTTTACCAAACATATAATGTTGTTGTGCTAGTGATTCATTGGCAGTTGGAGCAGATTTAAAATGCTAATGAAATTTTTTACAGAAGAATTTTCAACTATTTATTATTTTACTTGATGATGATTATTGACTGTATCGGATGGAAAAGCTGTAAGGCTACTTTCGTCAACAAGTGTTGGAATATCCATTGTTGAAAAACTTTGACTTATATCTGAATCTCGTACACGATTAAGTGCATCTTCAAATATTTCCTATATAAAGACGAGAAATATTTTAAAATAAATTAGCACTTAAAGTTACAATATTTTGTTGTTCAGCAATATTATGTAAAGCTGTTTGTATAAGTAAATCAGCAAGAACTTTTTCTTTTTCCGATTGTTCTAATGCTTCATAAGATAACTGACTTCCTTTTGAATCAACAATCTATATTAAGAATAATTTTAGAAATATTTTCTTTGTTTTTTTTTATGTATTGATATACTTCTAATGCATTTTGTGTTTCAGAATTCACTTGTTCTGTATTGTCATCATCTAAATCGAAAAAATTATATTATGGAAAATAAAGAAAAACAGGAAACAAACCATTCGAAGAAATACTATTTTCAATTTGAAAAAATCGATAGGCATCTGCTAAAAAGAATGGAGAATGTTGAACAATATCTGGATTTCTATAAACCTAATTAGAAAAAGTAAACTTTAAAAAAGAAATCATAATAGTCATATACAAACAGGAGGAAGAAGAGAAATTTCATCACTAAGAATATGTGTTTTCATCATTGAATAACGTTGATTACGTGAAGTTGAATATTCCAATTCGAGAATAGCTAATGATATTTTAATTTAAAAAAATCTTTTGAATATTTATAAATATAATCTTCTTACAATCAAGATCTCGTCTTTTATCTTCACTACTAGCAATCATATATCGTCGTTTAATAGCAACATGTGAACTGATACCAGCATATTTTGATGGGTGAGGACGTTTTTTTGATGGTATTTTCATATTTATATATGTACCATCTTCATCAACAACACCACCAGCTAGTTGATTCTAAAATATAGATCAAAATTAATTTGATTTTTTTCTTATATTTTTGTATTGTATATGAAGAATTTTAATTATACCTCTGGAGTTCCACCATAAGCTAAAATACTTCGTTTTAGTTCACCTAATTTAAGTGGTGGTGGACTTAATAAAGAAGGTGAATTAAAATCTTGATGAAGAATTCTTTTATCTCGATGAGCTTTTGATCTTGAATGTTTAAAAAAACCAGTTTCAGCAAATAGAACAAGAGGACCACGTCTATAAAGAATATCAATCGTTTTTCTTACATATCTAATTTAAACATTTCGATTACTTTGTTGAATATGTTTTTGGTATATGAGGAAGTTGATTAGTTTCTGAAGTGTGAATAAGTGGCTTTTCCTAATATACATATAAACATACGTTTCAAACAGTTGATACGGTTTCTCTAATAAATAAAATAAATACATACATTTTGATCAGCATAGATTTCTAAACGAGAGCCATTTTCAGATAATTCAACATGACCACGACTTAATTTCGATAGATGAAGCACATTTGCCATAGTTTATTTCTTCTCGAACTTGTCGATTGTCGTCTTTTGAATTGAATCAATTCATCAAATAAAAAAAGGACCAGTGTTCATTTCTTTTTTTCCTTTCTTTTCCTTTTCTCGATTTTAACATTGCGACGCATAATTTTATTCAAAATATGTTTCTGTGCAACAAATAGCATTAAGCTAGTGGCAACAGTTACTTTAAAAAAATAAAGTAAACCATTGTAATCATTGATTGATGTTATTGTTGATAAAATAAATGGAATCAATAAGACAATATTATGTTGTTTTATTAGACAAGGTAAAAATATTTGACACATAAACATGTGAGAATCACTGAATAAGACATATTGACATTTGTTGATGATAATCATTCTGAAACGTTCAGAATGAGACAACCGAATTAAGTTTAGTAATCAGTAAAATAATATCTTGTTCAAAGAAGTTATTTTGAATGTTCATCAATGAATAAAATTTAAAAATTTATTCAAAACAATAGAAATAAAACTAATTTCTACTATTCGATAAATCTAACTACCATGAAGAAAATCATTCTCTAAGATAAGAATATCTCGTAAATGTTTATTTGCAGAGTAAAAAAAATAGAAACAAAAAGATTATCAATAAATGATACTAATAGTAACGATGGTTATAAAAATCATGAATATTCCAGTAATAATAGTTACTAATATCCAATATTGTTTAATCCCTAATAGTTGTTGATGATTATTAGATACTCTCTCATGTGTAAATAACTCCATATTAGCAGTTGAATGAATCATATTTTGAATATTATGATCATCATCTTGTACGGTCATATCTAATGGAGGTGATGATGATACAATAAACGTAGCTGATGATGTCGAAACACATAGTTGATGCTGTTCTGGTTCACCACTAGCTAACTTTGATCGAAAATAATCATCTGTTTTATTTTCAAAATTAACTGAAGATATTAAATGTTCATCTTTATTATCAATAGTATTACATATAGTTCTATTAGAAATCATTGACATTATCGGTAAATCAACACAATCACCTCGAGCACCTGTATGATTAATATTTTGGATACTTGATATTGGTGTAATTATTTCTGTTTTCCATAATTTATTATTATCAATCGACATCTGTTTTTTGTGTTATGTTTCCTTGAAATAATTGACAATATGATATTTAGACAATTGAATTATTCATTGAAATAGGATATTATTAAAATTAACTGAAGATTTGAAGAATACTGCCAAGTAATTTTATGAGTATTAGCAGCAACAACAACAAACTCAAGGATCATAAAATTTAAATTAGAATTTAGAACAATCAAAGCGCCAATATGATGAAAAAAAAACACAACAAAAATTTTTCTTCGTAAATTCAATTATCGATCATCAGAAATTTAGACAACAAACAAAAAATATATCATTCTAATAAATTCTAAGATCTTCCTCAATGTTCATAAATCAATAAAATATATACGAGTTCTCAAGGCATTTATCAAAAGACAATATATTAGAACATAAGCACGCGTGGGTAAATAATTGAACTTAACAGAACAAGAAAGAAAAAGATGATAGACATAAGCATAGATCTACGTTTGTTGAAGAAACAAAAAAAAAGAATAGAATCGAATAATAACCAAGGAAAAAAGATTTCTGTAGGAACAGATGAAAAAGAATTGAAGTAAGTGTGTGTGAATGTGTGTGTTGTCTCTGATCGCTCTGTACAGCCAAACACCGGGAAGTACACTCTTGCCCGTTTTTTCAAAAATCAGTGAAATAGAGAAAATATAACGACAGATAGACGAACATCACACCAAAAGTAGAATAGAAAAAAAAACAAGGTGATTAAATAAAGAAAGAATCAAAGAGAAAAGAAACAAGACTGTTGTAAATATTTAATGAAAGTGAATGAGTGAGGATTTAGCCTAATTAAATTTTGATGATACAATTCTATTTTTGTTGAACTACGAAGAAATTTTAATATTGATCGACTAGTTTTTTTTGAAAGCATCTTTGCCTGCATATATGGCATTATTACCAAGCTCTTCTTCAATACGTAATAATTGATTGTACTTAGCCAAACGTTCCGAACGACATGGTGCACCAGTTTTGATCTATTTTATTCAAAAAAAAAAACAAAATAGATTAAATAAATAAATAAATCAGGGCATTAAATCAAACCTGTCCGGTGCCTAAGCCTACGACAAGATCAGCTATGAATGTGTCTTCAGTTTCACCACTGCGATGGCTAACCATTACATCCCAGCCGGCACCACGAGCCATGGTGCATCTAGAAATATAAACATTTGTATAGATGAAATTTGATAATAATCAAAAACTCGACTTACGCCGCAATAGCTTCAGTAACCGAACCAATTTGATTGACTTTGAGTAGAAGACAATCACATGCATTCTTCTCAATAGCTAATTGAATTCGTTTTACATTTGTTACCGTGAGATCATCACTTGAAAAAGAAAACATTTATTATGAATTTTTATTTTAAGATGAATATATACCCGACAAGTTGTACACCACGACCTTTAACAGCATTAAGAAGCGTTTGAAAACCATTCCAATCATCTTGTTCAAAAGCATCTTCAATTGATATTATTGGATATTGTTGAATTTGTTTAAGATAATATGCAACCATTTCTTCACTTGTTAACTAAAGGTTAAACAAATAGAATTTTTTTTTTAAATTTTTTGAATTATTTTTCTAAGATAATTACATAATGTGGTCGACCTTTTTCTTTATTATTTAAATCATATTTTTTTCCTTCTTCATCATAAAATTCACTTGCTGCTACATCCATACCAATTTTAATTTTACCTGTATAACCAGCTTTATCAATAGCTTTAACAAGAATATCAAGTGCTAAAATTATTCGTAACAAAAAAAAACCAACTTATATCTTTTTATTACATATTTGATTTACCTTTTTCAGCACTTTCAATATTCGGTGCAAAACCACCTTCATCACCAACATTAGTTGCATCAAGACCATATTCAGCTTTAACTCTTTATAAAAATAATTTTTTTTTAAATACTTTAAATAATTTAAAAGAAAATCTATCATACAAATTCTTTAAGTGATGGTAAACTTCTGAACCCATACGCATAGCTTCTTTAAATGTTTTAGCTCCAATTGGTAAAAGCATAAATTCTTGCATGGCTAATTTATTACCAGCATGACTACCACCATTGATAACCTAAGAATATTAAAGAAGAATAAAAAAATTTTAAATTTAAAAAATCTTAATTTATATTACATTGAAAGCAGGTACGGGTAAACGAATAGTTCCATTGGAAAGTTTTGCAATGTATTGATATAAAGGTAAATTACTATGTGCCGCTCTAGAAAAAAAATTAAGAATAATAATTCATATTGAAAAAAAGGCAAATTCACCCAGCTTTGCAGACAGCAATTGAAATACCAAGAATAGCATTGGCACCATATTTTTCTAGATAATAAATATGATTATATAATTGAAGAAATAAAATTATTTTACTTTTGCTTTCTGTTCCATCTTGTTGAAGTAAAAACTCATCGATTTCTTTTTGTTGAGTTGCATCAAAACCTTTCTAAATAAGTAAAATAATTTGTTTATAAAACGAATCAAACTTTAAATTATTAACAAACCTCAATAATCAATTTTCCCAATGTTTGGACATTAGCTACAGCTTTTTCAACACCTAGATTAATTATCATTAAGATTTATTTATGATTATCATATGATTTCGTTTACCTTTTCCATGATGAACATTTTTATCTCCATCACGTAATTCAAGAGCTTCATGAATACCAGTTGAAGCACCAGATGGAACATCAGCACGAAAAAGGCCTAGAAATAATAATACATCAATTTTAATTACAGAACATTTAAATTCAATTTTATTAATAGATAATTCATTCGAAAATATCGGATTTATACACGTTGTTCTTTTTATATGTTCAAATCGTTCGAACGAAATGAAAAGGACAACAAAAGCATAGAACTAAAATCATTACACGTTTAGTATTTGCTTTCAAGGTCATTTAAGAGAATATTTTGACTTTATTTTTATTTCTCGAAATACTGAATTGTTTTACTTGTTTTTCTTTTAGTTATTTCCTTCTTATATTAAATAGGATTTCATTTTGATGAAAAGACTTGTTTCATTTTAAACTAATGTTTTTTTCAATATAATACAATAAAAATAAATACTTATTTTGATACTGATGTAATATATTACACAATAAAGATTAAGGTTTTGTTTTGTTTTGTCAAATAAGTTTTTTATTTATATAGAAGAGACAAAAAAAGAAAATTCTTTTTTCCTTTTTTTTTGTTTGTCCTCTTTTTAAAAAAAAGAAAAGATGTATTTTTTTTTAATACCTTTGCTTGTCCAAAGATCGACTTCGACAGTCGGATTACCACGACTATCGTATATATAACGACCAACAATCTTGAGAATTTTATCACTCATTCTTTGTTGTTATTTGCTGATGGACGATCTAGAATAATTTAAAAACAAATTTGAAACTCTATTGTATTCTTAAGATTTTAATCCAAAAATAAAATAACATATTTATTTTTTTATGATAAACTTACTCGATTTCAATGTCAGTATGTTGGTCAGTCGATCGATGGCCAATACGCCTAGGCGTTAAGACCCTTTCTCCTTCTGCTGTTTTTCTCTTCTTTGCGTTCTCCTTTCAACTAAAAGCCGACGAGAATCGAATGCTAGCAGAGAGGCAGTAGCAAAAATATTTTCTCTTTCTCCTTTCCGTTTTTTCTCTCTTGTCTTTTATTTCTATCTCTTTTCGTTCTAAGCGACAACCAAAAACCTCTATGAAGAACAACTCGTCGCGTCGACAACACAGACAAACACATGCGACTATGTTATTTGACAATTAACCTTGTGATATAAGCATAAGAACGAAAGAACATGAGAAAAAACGTCTGGACTTTTGTTGTGTAACCGACAACGACGATGAAGGGATTTACAAGGCAATATGTAGGAAAAAGAAAAAAGAAAAAAAATGAGGAAAGAAAAGCAAGAAAAAAAAACAAGAGGTAAATTCTGTTTTTTTCTCTCTTTCTCTGGCTCTCGTTCTTTTACTCTTTCCAAGGTCGAACCGACATGCATTGGCTATTGACGACAACGGCATTGACAAGTTCAGAACGGGAAACTAGTTGATTAGGAAAAAAGAAAAGAAATTGATTTACTTACGTGACATCGATATTTGATATAAACGAGCGACTTTAATCTAGGAATATATATATGAAAATGATCCTTTGATTTTTGTTGCATCATTCTAATCATATGAAGGAGAGAACCAAAAAAGAAAAGATCGACTAGCTCGTTAGGTATATGTTATAATATGTTCTTAATGTCGGACATTCGATTGAATAAATGACCTCAAGTCCAACGATGGATAATACAGTCTGATAGGAGACCAAAAAATCGAATTATATTTGCTTACGGGTGAACGAAAAGGACTGACATGGAACAATGATATACGTACGGCAGAAATTAAATGTTTTGTTTCAAGATTTCAGATAGTATTCAACTTAAAAATTACAAAATCAATTCAAAATAAAAGTTTTTTTAGTCTATTTTCAACCTTACATCAACATATGTTCTTAAACTATGTCATACAAATTGTATCTTACTCTCTTCTATAAACCAACATTTATGGACATGTTTTTGTATTTCTATACCCTAAATTTAACCAGCCATAAATAGAAGTGAAAAAGCACTACATTATAAAGTGTTCGTCATTTGAATCACGAAAGAAATATATTTATTTATTTACATCATACCGACACCCTCTATCGTTGTTGTTTTATTTTGTTTTATAATGATGATGTAGTATGTAGTGCAAGTTACAAGTATAGTGTGTATTGCCTGGATTCTTCTTGTTCGACTTATTTTTCCGCAGTTAATAGCCAATAACAAATAGTGAAGACGAATGAATAAGAAAGTAATGGAATTAAATATTAAGAAACAAACTATTCAATCACTATAGTTTTTCTTATTCAAGCGCCAAACTAACATCCTTTGTTTATAATTAACATAGATATTTGATGTAATAAGAAAGAAAACCATTAGAAAAGTGTATCTATGATGTTAAAACCTTGAAATTTTGTTTTTTTTTTCAAAAATACATGCTAGAAATATATTAGTTATAATGGCATGTTTAAATCTTGTGATAATATGGACTTTGTTCTTTCAACGAGAATTACATTGAATGTAAACTTCATTTTTTCTAAACTTTAGTCCAATCGTTTGATGATAAAATTCTTTTCGAAAATATATATTACTAATTAGACATTATTACTTCAAGAATTTTCAGAAAATATTTTGTTATTCTAAATAAAACAAAAATAAATATTCCAGTCATCTATAGAATTATATTAAGTAACGATAATATAAAATGTAAAATAAACAAATTTATTTCCTATCCACTGTTGTATGCAAATAAGCATGCATCATAAGAGACATTTCTTTTTCAGCTGTTAAGCCTTTACATTTGTAAATTGTGTCAAGGGAAATTCATAGACTAATTTATATCATCTCGTCATTATTGCTTTTGTCTTTTGTATATATTTATATGTTTTGCTTTTCTTTATCAGTCATCATACGTCTTCTTTAATGATTGTATTGACAGATCTTATTTTATTATAGTTATAACAAAATATTAAGCAACAAAAAGTCATTTTATTCTCAAAAATAAAAAATATCTTTATAAATAATAAACTCTCTACAATCAATAATGAAGAATATTTAGTTAACTTACAGTCTAGTAGATCATGATCATAATGAAAGCAATGCTCGTGGTGATATCATAGCTGAAAAACCACTGTATCATTCAGTAGTTTCCTTTTCTTCAAGTTCAATTTAATGACAATGATTAAACGATTATACGATTTATTATACATTTACTCTGTACATGTTCTGAACGTCTTAGTTTAAGTTCAAGAACTCTATAAAATACATTAATTGAAATATTATATATCTAATTCATATTCGTAAGATGATCTGGCATGACATAGAATAAAAAGAAATTTCATGGCATTCACCATACAGTAGAACTATGTATATTTAACGAACGATAAAACAATGAAGTAGATGCTAACATAAAAATAAAAATGAATACATGAAGATTAATCTTTTGAATAATAAATTTAGTAGTAATATTCATAATGATGTAATTCATAACCTTCGAGAATTTCTTTAAGCAACGCTTGATATATAATAAAATACAGCATCATATCAAATCTTTTCCTTTTATTAATACAACTTAACATAACCATAAAAATATTGCCATAAAAGAAACAACACAAAACGTAAATATCAAATTATTCAAGAAACAATTAATAGGATGAAATAAAAAAAACCAATACAGATGAGTATGGGTTTCTATCAAATTACCTTCGTTTCTTATAAATATCAGCAGCAAAATATTATGCTCTAGTTTTTCATGTGATTTTTTTTTTTGTTATTACTTAAGTTTATATTTTTGGATTGTATTTTATATCCTTCATTTACTAACTAAAACGACAAATCTATTGATCATGGTTTTTCTTGTGGTATATCAGCAAGTAAAATTTGTTGTTTCAGTTTCAACTATATATTATCATAAGTATATACAAGAGCCGTTGTTTCGCTAAAAGAAAGGCAAAAGTAAATAAAATGCGCAATTAACTCTATGTATCAACATAGAAATTTTAAACATACAAAAAAATTCAATGCAATGAGTTGTATTTCTATTAATAAAAATCTTTCTATTGGTTAAAATACAATGCTTTATAGCATCTGTACAAGCAGGAAAGGTATTATAGACAAAAAAAATGCATAATAGACTTTTCTATATATCACTGTCGAGAAAAAAATAAAAGATAGCAACAGTTAATTATAAAGCGAAAATAAGAATATAATACTAACAGAAGAAAACCTAGTTTAATGCAACTAATAAAACAACTGAATTCATATTTATCAGCATTAAAAACTCATGAAAACTGTTTGTAATGAATATGATACATATTCTTATGTTTTTTATGGTTTATTTTCAATTTTATCATGAATATGGATTTATGATGAAAATAAAAGTTATTAATATTAAACAAAAAAAGTATATTTACCAAAGAAATTCTCTACTGTAGTTCAACATCTAAATAAAATGAATTTTCATTAGCATTTTTTCCTTTTTATTGCTTCAATAGTAGATTCTTCAACTCTATTAACTACTATTAAATTAATACCAAACATTTCAATACATTGTTGACGTCAAGAATTAATAGCACTTTTAGAGAGTCCATTATTTGTTTTAAAAATGTCATTTCTCCTAGAAGAATTCCCTGATATTGATCGATTTCTAAAAAGAAAATAAATTATAGAAAAAGCCAGTTGTAAATAGAGATAATTTATCAACATATGAAGATAAGTATTCTCTAAAATTGATGAACGATTTCAGTAATATTTCTACTGCTATGCTTCCCAAAGCGTTCATTGTTCGAATTCAAATATAGATTTCTAAAGAAAAAAAACAGGATTGTTTCAATCGTTTTCTGCTTTATTTGATATATTCTTATTGTATCAATAGTTACATCTAATACATTCAGTTGTATGGAATAAAAGGGTTGAGTTCTACATAAACAACATAAGGTTGTTCATGTCCACGCCAGAATCAAGAAAGAGCTGAGTGTAAACTCAATAACTCGACAAAAGCAACAGTTCGTGATTAATCTATCATCTTTGCAAAGTAATTTTAAATAAATGCATAATAATCATGTTCCACTGCAAGGAAGTGTTGCTAAAAAGTCAAAACATCTGTGAGAAATCGATAGAATTCTATGTAATGTCACCGAACAGATACGCAGCTTTGTTTGTTTAACTTTGAAGATATAAGAAGACCGTCATCTGATTCATGCCTTGATCGATAAATCTGATGAAGATGTCAAAATCAAAATTACATCGAAATCGAACAGCGTTTTCATGCATGTTTTTTGAATCCTCTATGTTTTTCTATACCATCTATTACCGATCTAATGATATAAAACATAATGAATATCTTGTATTTGAGAAAGACTATTCATTTTTGTAATTGAATCAATATTATAAATCAATGGATCACCATAAATTCAAAGACGACATCAACCTTAAATAACCTAGTTAAATACTGAATTTATAATCATTTCTACGTTCCAATGAACGAAAACATCACTATCAAGAATAGTATGTGCGATTGAGAAAAGAAAAATTATTAAAACAAAATAACAGTGAAAGATCAATAAAATATAATCTACATATTAACCATGAGAATCAGACAGCATATTTCTTGGTAATCCACTGGGAAAAATAATCGATGAAACTGAGTATGTTGTCCGATTGAGTTCTCTTTAAGATGTCTCGATTCATAAGGATTCTTTGATTAGTAAACAACAAGGAAGTTGTTTCATCAAACCACATGGAAGTTTTCC